ATTGAATTAAGTTCATTATATATTTATTTGGTTATTGTAAACTTGATAAGATCTAGAATCACCTGAAAGGTTAGTCTCTGGGCATGCCTATAGGTGACTATCTTCATTGGGTTAACTGAATTGGGAAGACCATCAACTGTCAATGGTCCCATTTCCTGCGACAGAATTTTGGGCTGTATAAAAAGGATAACATGAGCTGAGCATGAATATTCATCATTTTTTGCTCTTTGATTGTAGAAGCAATGTGATCAGCTGTGTCAAGCTTTTGCTGCTATGACTTCCCCAGCACAGTAGACAGTAACCTTAAACTGTGAGCCCAAATAAACATTTCCTCCAATAAGATGCTTTTGTCAGGGTATTTTTATCACACTAACAGGAAGAGCAACTAAGACAGACGGAAGAGCAATGGCACCAGGAATGGGGCCATTGCTAACATAACTGTGGTCCTTATTCCTTTTTAACTAGTTTGTTGGAACATTGTGGAAGGGTTTGAAAAGCCCTTAGAATTATATTAGAAAAGCTTAATGGGCCAGTGTAATGGAATCTTGGAAGACAAAAATTCTGAGAAAAGTATGACCCTGCTTACAAGGTTTCAGAAGAGAATAAGGACTCCACCAAAAATTAGCATGTGATAATTTGGGCAAGTATCTGGTCATTCTCTGCTCTCATCCTAAGAAGTTCAGTGAAGTTCAATTTGAATATAATGAATGGATTTGTTTGGCAGAAGAAATTTTAAGCCTTGAGACCTTCATGCTGGTGCAAGAAAGCAACTTTTATTTTTAAAGAGATAGGCATCATCAAATAGAAACCTTCTATGATAGACTGAGATGACAGTAAAGGTCCTGAAGACCAAATCACAACCATCAGAGATTCCATATTATGAAGAACGCTTAAACTGAAGGGGTTCCTTGCTCCTCAAAGGCAACTGCACACAGAAGCTGTGACCCAAGGGGGTTTAGCTTATATCTCAAATGGGCAGCAGAACTTGGCAGCAGCATCTACATGGTTTTGATTTTGCAGGAATTGGGGGACAAGTGCAACTAAGCAATGTGTGGCAGTGTTGAAATATCTCCAAGCAATCTCTGAGAAACCATTTTGTGATGTTATGAAGGTGAATCCTAAGTTACAATGGAGATCCCAGAATATTGTAGCTCACAGGACTGTGAGATGGATGTCTGTTGAGGAAATCTGGGGGATGGAGTGGAGTTTTTTGCAGGTAGCAGATCTAGATGGGCAGGGTTGCTTAAGCTCTTTGTAGTCCAGCCAATTTCATCATAAACTCCAGATGCTTGGTGTGGTGCTATGGTATTTGATGTTTGTCATGCTAAATTTTCTTGTTTGTTTACTCTGTGCCATTGTATATTGGAGGAATGTGACATTTTTATTTCATAGAAGCTTATAGTTACAAGATTTCTTTGGGTCTCGGATGAGATGAGATGTCAGTTTTGGATTTTAAAATGAAATTGGATTGTTTTTCATATTATGAGATGAACATGGGGTGAACACAAGAAGAACGTGGGGATAAGAGTAGAAGATTATGATTTAAAGCTTGCTCTAGATTTATTTTATTTTATGTGTATGCATGGGTACATTTGCATGCCTGCGGAAGCCAGAAGGGAGTATCGAATCTCTTGGAAATGTATTTACAAATGGTTCTGAACCACTGTGTGCTGGGAACTGAACTGGCTCCTCTGCAAGAGTAACATGTGTTCTTAACCATTGAGCAATTTCTGTAGTACAATGAAGGAAGATTATAATCTGAAGTGGTATGGATAATACTGTAATTAACAAGGCAATTCCATGTAATTTATCTGATAATCAAGAGAGGCTTATTTCTGGGATAACTTGCAACCAATAGGGGTTGGTTGCAGGATCCAGGAGAGATGAGGTACCATCTAGTGGAGAACTCTGGCTTGGTGTCCCATCCAGCTTCCAGGACCACAAGGTATCCAGAAGGGCCAAATGCATATGCACCTTGAGTCTTAAGGGGCTCCCTCTCAGCCATACCCCAGGGGCAGGTCATAGGCAGGTGTGCCAGTTACCTGCTGTCACTCTAGGGGCAGTGTTTAAAGGTCAAACCTGGAATAGCTACCCACTACATTTGGGTGTCAGGTTGACTGGAGATAGAACTCAGATAGTTAATATCAATTGTCAGCTGGATGAAATCTATAATCAGCTGAGAGGCGGATCTCTAGACCCACCTGTGGGTGAGATAATCTTTATTAGGTTAATTGAAGTGGGAAGATCTACCCAATGTGAGTGGCACAATTTCCTGGGCAAGGAGCCTGGACAGTATAAAAGGGAGAGAGGGAGATAGGCATAAACACTTATTCTCTTCTGGATGTGGATGCAATGTGTTCAGATGCCTCCAGCCTCTACTACTTTGATTTTCCTACTATGGTGAGTTTTAACTTCAAACTATGAGCCAGAACAAACCTTTTCTCCCGTATATTGCTTTTGCCTGGCTATTTTTTTTATCACAGCAAGAGGAAAAGCAACCAAGAGAGTTATTGATCCCTTTTTAAAAGTATGACTCAAATATTGTTTGCAGCATTCAGTTATCTCATCATTGTTCACTGCTGCTGAGAAGCCATGGCTTGTGTGGAGTGTTGTCATAGGCTTTTCTTTTCTTTGTTGTATTTTGCATATCTGTTGGTCTGTATAGTCTCTCTGGTCTGTAGTTTTCCTCATTTGCTCACTGTTTTAGTCTTTTTCTTTTATGTGGGCTGTCTTCACTTGGGTTTTTATTCACTGAGAAAGCCAAACACAGTAACAAATACACTGAATATGACAGCAGCCCCAATATTAGCTGCAGGAGAAGAGACTGTTCTCTTAATCTATGTCCCCTTTGAATTTTAGAGATAAGGGAACATGGTAGTAGTTGGGAAAATTTAGTTTATAGTGCTTTTTTTGTTTGTTTTTAGAACTAAGAGTATCACTATTTAACTTGTGAAAAGAGGGAGTAATAAAGAAGGGAATAAGAAGGAGTAGAGTAAGAGTAAAGAAACTATGTGGGCTAGAGGTATGAAAGGCTACAACTTCGGTGGGGATGTTGAGAATGCTCAACTTCAGATTCCTTTCTTATACTTCTGCTGCTACCTCCATGGTCTGTGCAGCTTGGGGTGTGTTCTTTATATCTTTGTGCTGTGCAACATTCCACATTTTGTCATGACCTTCCCAAAATATCATGTATTTCTTGCTCTGCAAGGTTATATTATAGCTGGAAGGAAAGAACACTGCAGATGTCTCAATTTTAGGGTCCATTACTCCTCCTGTGGAGGAGTGTCCATGGTTGCAGAGACACTCTCCTTTCCCAATAGACTCAGCTGGGCTGGGTTTAGCCCCTTCAGAGCTCTTACTGCTTTCACACAGTATCATTGTCAGACTGATCCTAAGGGCAATGGCAGGGAAGTACAATTATGGATGTTAGAAATATTTCAAATTCAGATTCCTCTACCAGTTTTCTGGTAGGTGTCTTACATTTGCTGTTCTTGCGAAGTTGAGCCAATTTGGGATTCTAGCAGCACAATGCTGTTTTGGTTGTGCCATTTTTCATAATTCAATTATTGCTTTCTTTTTTCTTTCTGCTTTATTTCCTCCCCATTTCCTTCTTTCCTTTCTCTCTCCCTTCATTCCTCTATCTCCTTCTCTCTTTGTTAAGGTTTCTATTGCTGTGAAGAGACACCATGACCATGGCAACTCTTATAAGAAAAACATTTAATTGGAGCTGGCTTACAATTTCAGAGGTTTAGTCCATTATCATCATGGCAGGACATGGCAGTATATAAGCAGACATGGTGCTGGAGAAGGAGCTGAGTGTTTTACATCTTGATCTTCAGGCAGCAGAAGGAGACTGTCACACTGGGCGTGGCTTATGCATATATGAGACCTTAAAGCCTGCCTCTTCAGTGACACACTAGCTCCAACAAGGCCACACCTACTCCAACAAGTCTACACCTCCTAATAGTGCCACTCCCTATGGGCCAAGCATTCAAACACATGAATCTATGGGGGAGGGGCATTCCTATTCAAACTGCCATACCTTCCTTCCCTCTTTCATTCTCTTTTCCTTTTTTCTTTTTTCTCTTTTTCTTTTCTTCCTTGTTCCTTCCTTCCCCTCCATCTGTCTATCTCTCCCTTCCTTCTTCTCCCTTCTCCTCCCTCCATCTTGTTTCATGGTCTTACAATGTATCTTGGCTAACATGGAACTCACCATGTAGCCCAGGCTGGACTTGTGGCAATCATCCTGCCTCCACCTCCCAAGTGTTTATATTATAGGCATGAGCTACTATATCTAGTTTACTACAGTTTTTTTTCCCTAAAATCTGTATTATATAGCATCTAAAAATGTGAAGGAAGGGCTCCAGAGAAGGCTCAATGGGTAAAAGTGCATCCTGCCAAGTGTGCCATCTTCATTTCAATTCTGAGACTCACAGGGTAGAAATATTCTCTGATGTTCACACAAGCACTGTGGTGTACACACACACACACACACACACACACACACATACACACACACACACATAAACAAAAAATCCCTTACATGTAAAACAAAGTCATCAAGAAAATAATAAGAAACCTACCTGAAGCTATAGACTACTGAGATTCTTTTGTAAACTAATTAAAATAATATTCTAATAATTTTATTATCTGAAAGTATATTTATTATGCTCAACTTAGCTTGACACCATCCTTTCAATAGTTAAAGATAAAAACTAGTATGTTCAATGTCCACATATCAAACCAGTGTTAATTACAGTAAGTAGGACAGCAAAGTGAAAGGGGAAATTCTCCTCATATTTTTGTTACTTTTCCTCTATGTATTCTTCTACAATTAGACAGGAATTAATATTTCACACAAAGGATTTTTATATAGAATCTTCGAATTATGATGTGAATATACCTTTTTCCACTGCTGACTATACTTTTAAATAATAGAAAGTCTGAGTTTTCTGAATTTAACTGCTTTTAATCAATATTGAGATAGTGATATTACTTACGGTAGTTGCTTCTTGGCAGAAGTTACACCAAACCACAGGGAAGTTTCTCTTCAAGGCCGTAACACATTTTGTATAAAGCTTAGCACTCACATGTCTGTATTCTGTAAGAAAACATAGGGTTTTGAATCTGAAGACTCTATTATCACCAAACTTGGTGATTGGGAAATTTCATGATAACATTACCTATATGTTAGAGTTTGAATAGAGGTAATATAACACATTTTAAAATAAACATTATTATTTTCTTCCCTTCTATCACATAGCCTATTTAGTGTATACACAGACCACTGTCTTCAACTAGTCTTGACATTTTAATTATATAGCTGTTGATTTTGCTGCATTCAGGATTTTTACTATATACTGATATTGCTTGCTGGAGCTCATTTAAGACAATTGGATTGAGCTCAACTATGCAAACAGTAGTGAGTAGTGAGCAAAGAATGGAGAGCTTGTGCTTCCTACTCTTCATTATTGAGTATGTCTGTGCTTCTGTGCGTTGGCAGAATAGTCCCTAAAAAATTAGCTATCTGGAATAACTCTTTAAGTAATTTTATTTTTTATTTATTCATATTAATGAACTCCATTCTAAGCATGCAATGCTCAAATTCTTCAGTAAAATTTTAATGTAACTGATTATCAGCAAATATTACAATTTATTAAGTCAATTTTTATTGCTTGTTGAGGAATAAGCAAAGAAGTAAATATATGTGTTTTTGCTCATAAGCCTTTCCCAACTTTATTCTTTTTCCTTTACTTTTAGATCAGATTATATGAGATATTTTTAAAAATTATTGGAAAAATATACATGACAATATTTTCAAGATGATTCTTGCTTCCTTGGTCTCAAGAAAATTGTAAGTTATTCCTCTATAACCAGAAATGATTAAATCATATTTATTCATTTTGGAGGGAACTGAATATCTATCTCTAGGTAATGTTCTGTATTATCAACTTTTTCAACTAGAAAGAATACAATTATACAATTATATTTAGTATTACATGAGAGCATAGACATGATTATACACTATATTCATGATTCATTAGTGAACAGGTCATTTATTTATTCTTTCAATCATATGTCATTGAAGAAAAAAAGTAGTAAGCATATAAAAGGAAGTTGTACCTATAAAATCCCCATTTCCAGATATAACAAGCCAATTTTCTCTCTAAAGCATGATGTAATATTTCATTTGTTACTATATGTTAGTTTCAGCCAAGTTTCAGAAATAAAAACATTTTGATACTATTCAATGACTCTTTAATAAATATTTGAATAGTAATTGTCTTGTATTTGATAAATACATTATATAGTAAAAATTCTGCTAATCTTTAGGTGATATCATGTATGGAAAGCTGTGATAATGATAAATTTATCATTTAAATTTAAATAATATTTTTTGCTTTTATTTTGCTGTTGTGTATGGTGGTTCAAGACAGGGTTTCTCTGTGTAACATTGCCTGTCCTGGAACTTGCTCTGTAGACTATGCTGGTCTCAAACTCACAGAGATCCACCTGCCTCTGTTTCTCAAGTGCTAGGATTAAAGGTGTGTGCTACCATTACCTGGCCTATTTATGCATTTTAGTGGCATAAGTATTTGGAACTCTGAAATCATTACCTGCATTAGCAGCTGCATCTCCAAAGGAAGAACCAAGTGCTAGCTGTAACATCTGACAAATCCAACTGAAAAAATAAAGAGGGGGGTTGGGGGAGAGAAGGAATCAGTTAATAGGACATCCAATAATTATTGAGTAACTATGATATTTACAAGAGCTAAGAACTGCTGTTATTCTCATTGAAACATATTAAAATTCAAAAGATAAAACTTTCACATCAAATATCAATGGTGTCTATAAATAATAGTTCCCATTAGGAAGAAGTTTTTAATACAGCCACAACTAGAACTAAAACAAATGAAGATAATTATTTGAGACAAACACAATAATTATAGAAGCATTTCTCATTATGACATAAAATAAAGCTGCATCACTGAATATTTCAAATTATCTAAGCTACATCATCAATAAGGGAATAAATTGCTGATATGCCAATAATATTTATGGCCAAAATTTCAAGATGAATTAGAAGTGGCATGATGGTATATGAAAATGTAAAACTAAGTCATAATTTCTTATTCCTAATATACATGAATCATAGTATTAAAGTTATGCTAAGTACTAGTAACCTAAAAGTATGTAATGATTTCATTAGATAGTATCTGAGAAATTTTTACCAGGCAAAAGGCATGTCTCTAGATGCCTACACTAGCAACAAAATAAGACCATCACTCATCTACTAATTTAAATACAAGTTTAACTTTTCCTAATGGATTTCACTGAAATTCAGGAACTGGTATGTGAGTACAAACAGAGAAAGGTAGAAGTAACCAGTTTGAATTGTAAAGACTATTAAATGCTTTTACCAGAAACACTATTGCCTTCCTGGTATGTTAATTATGACTATCTCAAAATTTTCCATTGTTTAGCCCCAAGTATTTACTATCATGTGAATTGATATTAAAAACACAGAATTTTAAGCAAAATAATAAAGACAACATAATTATTAACTATGAATTGGACTATAACAGTGAAAATTGTGATACTGTGAGACTATTGTCTTTTAAAGGTTATTATTGATGAGTTACATATACAATACAGATTTCTGTTTCTTGGTGACAGACTATAATTTTAAAATTTCTGTCTAGAATAATTCCTTAACTAGTTGCATTCAACCCCTTACATATTCTTTACAGAGTTGTCTATTAAATCAATGATCTATAGTAAAGAGGATAGAAATTTTATTCATATTTTACAGTCACATATCCTAATATCAAGATTTTATTAAAAATTTCAAAATGCACAAAAAATGACATAGAACTTTAAATTATTTTCTTGAAACCATGTAAACAGAAAACTAGATAAAACTGAAATTCTTATTTTCCCTCTTATTTTCTAGTATTTGACATTTGTGACTAGTGGCCACTTACGGGTCAAGATTGGCTTGATGAAGTGAGTTTCTGGTGAAGGCCTTAGATTTGTGGTTCAGACATTCTTTGTTCTGACTCCTGACATGCAACATGTCAGATATCACATATTCCTACTGCCATGACTCTCAACCATGATGGACTTCTAAACTCTTCCCAAAATAAAGTGATCCTCCTTTCAGTTGATTCTTTTTTTTTTTTTTTTTTGGTTTTTTGAGACAGGGTTTCTCTGTGTAGCTTTGCGCCTTTCCTGGAACTCACTCTGGAAACCAGGCTGGCCTCGAACTCACAGAGATCCGCCTTCTTCTGCCTCCGGAGTGCTAGGATTAAAGGCGTGCGCCACCACCGCCTGTAGCGGTGCGCCCTCAGTTGCTTCTTGTCATATATTTGGTCTTAGCAATGAGAAAACCAACTAATACAGAAATATGATTTTAAGGAATGGGGATGTTGCTGTGCTAAACTTGACCATGTAGTCTGTAGGCCTTTGGAAATGTTCTGTTTGAGGAATATGGAAGAGCTTGGTTGTGTGCTAAAGAAACCCTACAATGCTATAAACAGAACGTCATGGGGCAATCTGGTGGGAGTTCAGAATACAAAGAGAAACATGGATAGCAGAGGCTCACTCAGCTCATGAGGTTTCAGAAGAAAGGAGGACTCTCTCAGGAACTGTAAGTGGCCACTCAGTTAACATTTTAGCCAAGTATCTGGCTCCATTCTGCCTATGCTCTGAAAGGTAATGGATTAATTTGTTTGGCAGAGGAAATTTAAAGATAGGATAACATTCAGGCTATGGCATGACTGCTGTTTATCCAGGTCTAGTGTGAGAAAAGGCCATAAGTAAGGCACAAAAATGTAGCTAGAGTTTTCCAGCTTGCCCACAGTCAGGACAAATCTTTGTCACCCGCCAGTCCCACAGCCGCTCAGACCCAACCAAATAAACACAGACACTTATATTGCTTGCAAACTGTATGGCCGTGGCAGGCCTCTTGCCAACTGTCCTTATCTTGCTAACTGTGCTTTTATTTTAAATTGATCCATTTCCATACATCTATACCTTGCCATGTGGCTGGTGGCTTACTGGCGTCTTCACATGCTGCTGGTCATGGCAGCGGCTGCAGCCTCTCTGGTCATTGCGGCGGCTGCAGCGTCTCCTTCTGCCTTTCTGTCCTTTTATCCTGCCTAGCCACGGCCGATCAGGTTTTATTTATTAACCAATCAGAGCAACTTGACATACAGACCATCCCCCAGCACAGCCAAGTGCAGACCATCTCAAACACCTGCACTCAGGCCCATGGTCCTAATCATCCTCTATACGGACCTGCTGGGTAACGCCACAAAGAACCTGAGAATGGGCTCCCACAGGACCTACAGAACATCCCACAGCACAAAAATGAGAAACATATTTGTGCAGTTTAGTGAGTAAAGGTATATGGACACATTTAAAGTTTCTGACAAGGCAGAAGTGAAAGAAATTTTAATTGTTACACTGATTGGAACAATAAGGATAAACCTATCCAGAGTGTGCTGGTGTAAGCCTTTAATCCCAGCAGCACTCAAGAACCAAAGATAGGTAGATGGACCTCTGTGAGTTCTAGGCCAGGCTGACCTACATAGTGAGTTCCAGTTTAGCCAGAGCTACAAAGTGAAACCCCATTTCACATGCACACAGGAGGGGGCAGGGGGCAGAGACAAAGAGTGTGGTTAGAACTCTGTACTGAAATAGGAGAGAGTGTAAGACCTCACCTCTTGAAGCTTTCAACTTATAGAATTGCAAATTCATTTAAAGGAACAGGCTTGAATTAAGAATACTACTGAAGGAGTACCTTGCTCAAAAATAACTGCTTAGAGATGTATTTTTTTTCCAGGTTCAGACAAGATCACCTACAATAAGGGGCTAGACTATATCTTGAGCTGACAGTAGAGTTTGGCAGCATCATCTATAGGTACCTGTTTTACAGACATAAAAAGTATGAGTGAGTCAAAGCTTTACCAAGGATATGGAAAGTCCTGATGCCAGGAGGTGTGTGATATTGTTGGATTCCCTGCAAGGAGGACACTGGGTGAAGTGGTAAATGTGAAGCCTAAGTTCCAACAGAGACTGAAGATAACAGACTCATGGGATATATGCTGCAGGCATGCTGAAAGAAGCAAGGAGGAGTAGAGCTGGCTTTACCTAGGTGGCAGAGAAGGAAGGGCACAGTTACTGGAACACATTTGAGCCCAGACAAATAGATGATGAGCTCCAGGTGCTGAACATGGCACTCCATCATTGGATAATTTCCCTGCTAGTTTTTTTTGTCTTTCTTTTCTCTAGTCTTTCTTTGCAATGTCTCCATTCTTCCCTTTTGGAATGGGGATATTTAATCTGTGCCTTTATAAAATGAAATATGTAACTTATTTTATAACTTTATAAGAGATCACAGTTAAGAGACTACCTTAAGTCTCAGAAGAATCTTTGAAATTTTAAACAGTGTTGTGACTGTTAAAGGGTATAGGGACTTCTAAAGTTGGAACAAATGTCAATATGATAGAAATTTGTTTATTACACTGAGGGTTCATCCATAGGTGTACAAATTCTAATGGAATTAGGAATTTTCCATAAACACTAACATTTTCATGAAAACTTTTCTTCTGTGCCCAGGTAGATGCAATCATATAACACTATCAGACTGCAATTCTCTCTGGGATTTATGTATACTTTCTAATAGTATTTTATTGGACTATTGATTTTTTTTCGAGACAGGGTTTCTCTGTGTAGCTTTGCCCCTTTCCTGGAACTCACTTGGTAGCCCAAGCTGGCCTCGAACTCACAGAGATCCGCCTGGTTCTGCCTCCCGAGTGCTGGGATTAAAGGCGTGTGCCACCACCACCCGGCTGGACTAATGATTTTTAAACTTTAAAATATAAATGTTCTTACAGGCATACTAAGTGTTCTTTAATAATGTAATTTTATTGAATAATATTATTAAATGTAAACAAAAACTCAAAATAAATGCAAAACTTGTGTTGGGGTTTATAAAGCGAAATTCTTAAAAGGTATGAGTCATATCGAATATATTCTTTGTTTTTAAAACAGCATTAAAATGTATTTTTGCCTGCTTTTGGGACCCTTTTCCTCCTACTGGGTTGCCCTGTCCTCCCTTGATACAAGGGTTTGTGCCTAGTCATAACTTGATATGCTATGTTTGGTTCATATCCCTAGGAGTCCTGACCTTCTCTGAAGGGAAAGGAGGAGGAGTGGATCTGGGGGAGAGGGGACAGCAGGGACTGGGAAGAGAGGAGGGAGGGGCAACTACAGTTGAGATGCAATATGTGAGAGAAGAATAAATATTAAATAAATTAAATATTTTGGAAGATAGCAGTTCCTCCTGTGTAGAGAAGTTTTTGCCTGAGTATGTTAATAAGAAAGTATACCACTGGATCAAAGTTTGGGCAGGCCTGGCAGCAGCCCCTAAAACCACTGGCTTCTCAACTGCAGCACAAAAACAGTGTGTGCAGTACTCATCTGGTCTTCTCTCCTGAATTTAGAGGTGGTGAGGGGAACTGACCTGAGTGAAACTCATTCTACCTGCAGGGTCATGACTAATAAAGATCTTTATCTCTAATCCAGGCACATCCCTCCCTCTGCCTGTCTCTACTAGAACTGTACAGACTAATTTTTAAGTATCTTCCCACTGGCCTACAGATATCAATCTCCAAC